TTTTAAATTAAAAAAAAATTAAACTACAAATATTTCATCCGTTTAGTTATCCAGTATGTATTGAAAACTTTCTTAATGACACTTTAACATTAACTTGATCAATGCTATTAAACAAATCGAAGTACTGGAAGTACTGAAAAGCGGTTGTTAGCATGCTTTCATCGAATAGGTACAGTGTAAAATCACAAAAAATGCATTGAATGATGATATTAAGTAGGCATGCATATCTTTTTCCAGTGTCATCCGCAAAAAGGCAGACACAATGAATTTTGTAGTACTTATGGTATAACCAATAACATCCCAGAATGATGTCACAAATGTTTGTTTCAAAATATCAACCTGCGATTTTCAGTTTGAAAAACAAAGTTCAATTTCAAAAATTTCTCCCTAATTGTCTCCATTGGTGGCGTCCAAAAGTGCTCAGAACGAAAAAAAAAATATGCTGATGTTGCCAATTTTACTGGCTTTCATGCTCTATTGATTCTGAAATTAAGTAACTATAAAGGCTCTATAGCAAACAAATCAAAAAGGAAATAAAATGATAATTCAAATTCTTTAGATTAATTCATTTGGAGTACTGTACATAAATCTTTAGCTGGCTAGTCTGAGAAAAACGGATGGACGAGCAGAGAATTAATTACGGTTATTTCAGAGAGCTTCAGTATCGTAGGCTTACTGCGGGTCAGCAGGTGGGTTCATTCAATCTATTCCCACTTTTTGAAAATGAATTTTTCCCTGGAAAAAAGCTTTTTTTATCTTTTGAATAATTATAATTGAGAAAAAAAGGAGAAAACAAACGTTTCATTATGGAAGTAATCCATAACTGTACAACTTACTTCAGTATTTTTATATAAAGGCTTTCTTCGTGTACTAGTATAACTTAAGTTAATTAAGGGGATGCCTTAATATTTTGGAAAATGACACTTGATTGAGATATTCTCCATTGTTTTGCAGTTGGTAATAACCTTCAACCCCTTTAGCCAGTAATTAACCCGTCCTCCCTGTGCCCAGTAGCATAATTCGTTCAAATATTTATTGTTTACGAGAGTAGCCTTATAGTTAATCATAGCTGCAGATCTGTAGCTATCCGAAAAAATATTTAATGATAGACCGGATAGCTACAGTGCAACCCATTGAAAAAACTGTATATTTATTGCGCACAAAAGAGTCAGCTCGGTTCTTGATTATTTCTTCAAAATTCTTACCTCAATTGCAAAAGAAGGAAGATTTCAAAAAGTTTCTCCATTCGAACTATGAAGTACATTCGTAGTTGACATCTGAACGAAGTAAATTAGTCCGAATTATCTTTGAAACCAAAATGGCAGTATATACAATCGAAATGTTCGATGTTTACAATATCATGGTCAGGAGGACTATTAACAACAATTATGACGAATGTTTTGTTGTGGAAAGAGTCAAAGAATATGTTAGGCACACACAGTTAGTAATATTTTGAGATTACAGATTTAGAAACGTGGAGAAATAAATTGAAAAGCGAGCGCACTTTTTTGTGCGCAATAAACATACAGTTTTTTCAATGGGTGGCACTGTAGCTATCCGGTCTATCAATAAATATTTTTTTCGGATAGCTACAGATCTGCAGCTAAATTAATCACAGACACCTGAATTTTCATCAGTAAGTCTCTAAATTAGCCAAATGTCGAAACATTCTACCCCTTCTATATATAAATACACAAGGTGTCAAACGCCAGTTTGACCCCCTGTTCAATTCAGGCTTCAATTTAACACATAAATTGGAAATGCCTACTGGTTTTCCTGTAGCATAAGATTCAAATATATTTCTTGCTATACATTTCTGTCTAAAGTTTAAATCTAACGCGTTGATAATGTTATCAGCTTAACTTTATGCTGACTTCGACTTTAGTCACAGGGCCCAGTCGCCATCAGCACTGTAGGAAAGCGGCTGACCACCGTAGTATATACTACGGTCATCAAAACATGTCGGCCGAGGTCACCGGTTAGAAATTTTCAGTCAAGATTTTAAACATTTGCTAGGTTATCTGTGTTAGTTCTTAAAAAATTTATATGTACGCTAATGAGAACTTGCTATAGGTTAGTATAACTTACCTGAATTTAAAGAAATAAAGCTGCAGTACGACCTCAAAGTTTTTGACAATGATGACTGTAACAAAATATTAAGATGACCGTAATATAGATTTCTACCAATGAAGTAGGATGACCGTAATATATAAATATAATCTAATGTGTTTTCTATTCTGTTGCAGAGGCAGGCATATCATGTTATAATAATTTTTATGTTAAAAAAGACAAAGATTTTAATGTAATTTTGAACCATAGCTATGGCACGCCAAATTCACAAAATGAAGTAAACAGAGTTTCACAGTCAATAAACTAGGTTTATTGCTTGTAAACTATAGTTTACTGACTTTAAACTATAGTTAACAGCATTAACCTATATTTCACACCAGTAAATCATAATTAACGCGATTATCTATGTTTCACAACCGTAATCTATACTTAACACCGAAAACAATCATTTGCAATTGAAAAACATATATTACCTGATCAATACAGTTTCACAATTTGTAAACTAGGGTTTACAATTCTTAACTATAGTTAACGATCTGATAAATGAAGTTTCACGATTTGTGAAACTATGATAAACAATTCTTACATATAGTTTACGATTGTAAATTATAGCTTTCAAACGTGAATCTACATGTATGTTTTTCAACAAAATCTAATGTAAAACGCTTTATTAAGAACAGATAATCTTAGATTACCATTTGTAAACTATAGTTAATTAACAACCGGTAAATATAGTTTTACACATGAAAACTATAGTTCACGGTTTGTAAACTATAGCTTACAGTCATAAAACCTACTTTATCAACTGTGAAACTGTGTTTTGCTCATTTTTGTGAAATATACGTGCCATACACTTAGCAAAACTTCTAAGAATTCACTTTAATCAATATATTTATTTTAAAACTATTTATAGAATGGTATGATATTTTCAAATTATTGCACAAATGAGTATTCTTAACAACTGTAGAAAGAAAATAAAGTATCATCGATGAAAAACAATGTCCCGTGACGAAGCTTACAGGCAATAAATAAATTTGTTCTTTGCGTGTTTTGTGTAATTTGCATCTTTTTGTGATCGTTATCAAATTGAAAAAAAAATGGTTTCACTAAAAACACAAAACTTCTGCAAAATGACCATTGAGATAGAAGGTATAGTCGTTGGAATGTTAATATCTGGACCATCTTTGCACAACATTTTACTCTTTTTTATTTTAATGCTTAATTATGTCGTCCCGAACGAAGTCGGTGACGACATATTGCGACTGTACATACACGATTTTTGGTTGTCCAGGTTGTTTCTCAAAGATGGCTGGGACAATCTTTCAGAAACTTTTCTCAAAGGACGATCATTGCTAGTAGTTGTGCCATATGCAGGTCCAGTCCAAAGACTTTTTCTACCTACGTAGGTATTAATAGCTACTTAGGTATTTAAAGCTACCCAAAGTAGCTATTTTTACCTACTTTCTGCTTTACTTGCATTTTGTGGCCAAATGCAGAAACGGCACAACATGGTGAGCACAAAATTTCTTGATACAGTCACGCTGATGATGAATATGACAAAAATTTGGCCAAAAAATGATTACTTCGTATATTGTCAATTTTGCATAGAAACTAATGTAAAATTGCCGATTCAGGAAGTAATCATTTTTGGCGAAAAACATGAAAAATATGGTTTTCATCATGTTGCGCCGTTTAGTCCTTTGGTCGCAAAATTCAGAAATTATATAAAGACGATGAAAGTAGCTTCTTTGGGTAGCTTTGAATACCTGGGTAGCTATTAATAGCTACGTAGGTAGAAATAGTCTTTGGACTGGACCTGGTATGGTCATTTAGTTAAAAAATGTCAACCATTGCCATGGAAACCTAAAAAATGCGACGAATAGTCATTATCACGATTACTCGTCATATAGGAACTCTTCCGTATTGGAGGCGCGTTAGGCCTACGGGCTGGGTACAAGACGCATGGTGCTACCGACGCTAGCATTATGTATTTTAAAGGTAAAAAGAAACCAGAACTTGTCAACTATTTACGATCACGGGGCATTAGTCACTCAGATAAGAAGAGTTACGGGTGTTGTGTGAGGAGGCTGATCAGCTAAATTATCGCCAGTGTGACGACGAAGATAGTGATGTCGCAAACTTGCGGAGAAGAACTGTCAGGGGGATATCTTTTCCAAAAGTAAGCGATAAGGGCATATGTTGGACCAAAAATTTGTCAAATATTCCACCCATTGACTTTTTTGACGTCAGCGCCTATCTCATAAATGCATGTGGATGGTCAAAAGACAGACTTAGTCGCAGGAAGAATGACAGCTATCCTATTCTCTTCATTCCAATGGCCATGTGCACGACGTCCAGTTAGCGGAAATAGATGATAAGACTAGCCTAGTTGATCTCAGATTTGAAGTTTAAATTCATACCAACTTGTCAAGTTACTCTGAAAGAGTTATTGATCATTTTGAGAGTTCTCTTTTTGGATATTTGCTTTATATTGAGTATATACAGTGATTTAACAGGTCCAGCCCATATAGACTATTAATAGCTATGTAGGTATTTAAACCTACCCAAAGTAGCTATTTTTACCTACTTTCTGCTTTACTTGCATTTTGTGCCCAAAGCCCCAAACACAGGAACGGCATAACATGGTGAACATAAATTTCTGGATACAGTCACGCTGAGAATGGATAAAAATTTGTCCAAAAAATGATTACTTTGTATATTATCAATTTTGCATAGAAACTTGTGTAAAATTGTCGATTCAGGAAGTAATCATTTTTTGGACAAATATTGTCGTATTCATCATTAGTGTGACTGTATAAAAAGAATACATTTATGGTATTCAAACAGTCTTTTTTGCATTTAATATAAAAAAGTAGGTAAAAATAGCTACTTTGGGTAGGTTTAAAGACCTACGTAGCTGTTAATAGCTACGTAGGTAGAAATAGTCTTTGGACTGGACCTGATTAACTTAATTACTACATGTATGTATTCACTATAACCTTATACATGTAAAATATATTTATCCTGACCTTTTGTTTAAATGCAAATCGTGACACATGTATGTATTTCATTTTCTTACTAGGTAGTAACATGATGTATATCAAAGCAAAGTGTGTACCAGAAACACGCCAGTCATCAGAATCATATCAACTATGGATCCTAGTGGAGAAATCTGGTCAAATTTATTCTGCTGAATGCAACTGTGTAGCGTAAGTAATTAGGCTGAGCAAATATTGCAGATTTTCAACCATATACAATGTAGTACTGATTTACAATGGGTTACAGACACGACATTAATTTACACTTCATTAATCATTTTACTGTATACAGGGAACTTTTTGCCCCCGTATTATTTCCGCCCCTTTCGCCCTTCCCTCATTTGGGTGAATTTAAAACGGGGCGAAATGAAATAATACAGTATAATTTCTTTAATAAAACTATGATTGGGCGAATTTAAAACGGGGCAAAATTATTTGCAAGTGTGAAATGGCGAAAATTAAACGGGATGAAAATAACCCTGTATACAGTATATAATTTTGTGCTGATAGTCTCATAGATTGCAACTCTTATAGTAAGTCTCTAAGAAGTATAACAAAAAAGAATCATATTCCTACTAAATATTACTGATAACACTGTCTTATTTGTTTCCATTTTACAGAGGTGATGGTACTTGCAAACATGTGGCTGCTGCCTTATTTGGACTTCTTGCATTTTGTGTCGAAATGGAGGACAGAGCGACAGTAGCAGTCACAGATAAAGAAGCGTACTGGACACTTCCTAAGCGTGTGTGCAGACCATTAGTTGTGGATGATATTGATATAAGGTTTTATTTCATGCAGATATTAATCTGTAAATTTAATACATGTATTAATTGTTAGATTCCTCTGAAAAAATTGATTCAGTTGACAAGAAATTGCCAAAACTCAAAACATAATAAACAAAATTTATAATAATACCCCCCACTTGAAGGGCATGGCCCTAGTATCAGAGGTTCTGGAGTGAGGCTTATCATTTTGTGAGCTCAGTGCTCACAGTATATAACTCTAGTTATAATTAAAATAAATTAAAAGTACATATTTATTCAACCATTTTAAATGTGTCTTGTAGGAGCAATATGACTGCAGCCAGAAAGGAAAGACCAACCCCTTCTGATGGCTATCTGCCCATTCATGATGTTAACGAACATGAAATAGAAAAGTCCTTAGTGAAACTTGTTAAAAAGTGCAGCATACCAAGTGTGGCCTTATACACTCTTTCAGATTCAGACTGCAGTGACAGTGATTGTGACTTAGAGGAGTACCCAAAGAACATTCCTGAACTTGTTCAAGAACATGGCCATTTACAGGATGTTGCAAAACACATTACTTTGTCTGAGGTGAATAGAATTCCCCATCTGACCCTTGGACAATCAGACAACCCAATGTGGAAATACCAACGGCTTGGAAGATTGACAGCATCGAACTTTTATAGAGCTATTCATTATCAAGGTCAAAATGAAAACAATTCTATAGTTAAATCTGTTTTAGGCTTGTATGCAGAATTTTCAACTAATGCAGTAAATTATGGAAAAGAGATGGAATTGGTTGCAAGGGAAAAGTATGTGTCAATTATGTCTCCGAAGCTTGTATCTTTTTCAGCTGAGGAAACAGGCCTGCATGTTTATGCTGATTTCCCCTATCTTGCTGCTTCACCTGATGGCTTAGTTAACTGTAAATGTTGTCCCCCAGGTTTAGTAGAAATTAAATGCCCTTACAGCTTAGGGAAAATACTTGCAAAAGCGTCATGGCAAAATTGTCATCTTTTACAAAGATAGATGGTAGATTTTTGGTAGATCAGACGCTTTCATCACCATATTATGTTCAAATGCTTGGACAAATGGCCATTTGTAACTTGTCTTATTGTGATTTTGTTTTATACACACAAAAGGATATGTATGTAGAAAGAATCATGTTCAATGAAAAATTGTGGAAGGATGCATATTCGAAGCTCAAAGAATTCTATCTGAAATTCATACTACCAGCTATTGTCAGCAAAAGTGATTAAACTGTATTTGCTCTTTGTACATGTTCATATATTTACTCCATCATATTTTTTTTTTCTGCGTGAAAATGTGTGCTGTATAATAATCACTGTATCACTTTTACAAGACAATAACTTGAATAACTTTCCTACTACAAACATCACATTTCATAAGTGTAAGATGGTTATAATACATGAACTTACATCTATATTAGTACAGCTTTTGGGATCAAGGTCAGTAAATTGATATGGCCATTTCTATTTACAAAGAACATCGCAACATATTTTGAAGTTGTTTAACCCAAAGTCAGGCTTATATTCACCACATAGGTAAAATGTTTTTTGATACATGTACTTGTAAGTTTGTACGTCATGTGATCAAAGGTCACGGCTATTCATAATAGGAACTCTGAGGCCATCAGTTTTCTACTTTTGTGTACAGGATTATTATGTTAATGGAATATATGAGGATATGCATTATTTTAGAAGACTGAAAAATAGAGAATTTTATATAAAAGTTGCTGTTCCTGTGAAGTTATTTTTTATTGCAGAATACTGTGAATTTGATGTTAATTGCTCTTACTGTTTATTTCATGACTTTATACCATAAGTGTTATGTAGTTTTTCTCAAATGGACTTTTTTATCTGATAACCATGAAAAGTCTATCTTAACATTTAGTGTTGTAAATTTACAATCTAAATCATAATTATACATGTATTGTAATTTTTATTTAATTTAATGAATTTCATATCTAGATAAAATTTCAACACAGAACATCTCTTTAATTTTTTTAACAGGACAAAGCTATATAAGTGAAGGATTTGTAGTCGCACGTCCTTAAGGTTGCTGCAGCATTCTGTCCAATATTTAAATTGGTAAACTCATGGTTTCATTTCTTTAGGCAGATGATAACATGAACTACTTTGAATATTTCTTTACAAGTGGGGGGAGAAAGTTGCAAAATGCTGCAACAACCTTAAGAATTTGTGAAGACAAATCCTTCATTTTGAGAGGAAGGGTTTGTCCAAGTAATTTGTAGGATTTCAACCTGCGGATGGCTCTCTCAACGTGAATCCGTAGAGATGCGATTTTTCGAGTCTCACGAATTTCATTTGAAGTCAATCTTCTACCTTTTACATTGTTTGCTGCTCTAGTAAAAGGTGGCATATTCAAGTAAACTCCTTTTCTAAGTAGAAAGTCTTTGACTTGAAAACCACGATCAGCCATCACATGATCACCTCTTTGTAGTTTATCAAGAAATCCTGAAGCCTCGGTGATTTTCCTGACAGAAGTATTTCCAGACCATAGTTTAGATATGAAACTAAATGCACCATTTGGCTGAGTACAGACAAGTGCTTTAAGAGTGTTATGTGACTTATAATTACTCCAAGTTGCTGCTTGTGCCCCTGTATTTCTGGGTTTTTGAATAAATATTTCGGTACAGTCTATAATGGCAGTTGTTTTGGGGTATTTTAATTTGAAACTTAAAGGCAAATGTTTCCTGATTTTTTCTCTGGATGGCCATTTTATCATTGGGTTCAGGATTTGACTTAGAAAATTTATCCATGTTGAAAATAAACTTGATACATGACTGACTGAAACACCAAATAAGTAAGCAAGTGTAAGATTGTCAAGTCCTAATTTTAGCTTTAATAATATTAGCACAAACTCCTCTTTAACGCTTAATTTCCTTCCCTTTCCAGGTTTCCTTTTATTTTGAGTATGCCACTTCTTATCTCCAGATTTTTTTGCACCTTTCCAAGATGAAATTTTCAAACAATATGGAGTTATGAATTCCACAAATTGCAATAAAAACATAAGAGATGGTAAGCCCAAAAAATGTTTCAAAGTGTTGTTTGATTGAAGCACAAGCCACATGATCAAGCCTCTGAGGTTTTCTGATTTTTGGCTTAGTTTTTCCTTCAGAACAGTGTTTTCTTCCTTAAGAGTTATATTTTCGCTTCGCAAAGTGGCACACTCAATCTGTCATAGAATTTATAGAAAAAGTTTATGTATATATATTTTAATATTCCATAACTGCATGGAAATATGTTAAAATTTATTATTAATGTTATAAAATAAAATTATGCTTAATTCATTCATAATCATTTAATTAAAAATATATTGCCATAATGAATCATAATATTAACTTAAATATTCACAAAGAGAGTTATTCAATATGAAATTCAGATACTCAGACAATCATCAAGGCCAACTCGCCTCCTGTTTATAACACAATAGTTTAATACATAAAAGATTAAAGTCAAATAAATAAACAAATAAATTGAATGTAGGAACCAAAAATTTTGTGTTGTGAAGTCATGAGCCAAAATGATCTTGATTCTTTGAAAAAATTATGTACATTTTATTCTAAAATTAATAGTATTGTCTGTACTCCTTAGTTATCACTTGCTTGACCCAATGTATTATATGTATACATGTTTTATATGTTTCTGTATCTCCTGTACAATTTACTTGGTTTTGAGAGAATTGGAATGAATTATATAAATTATTAAGGCTGATCAAGACACTGAATTTAATTCTTGCAATGTGAAATGGTCATGTTCAAGTAACAAAGTGGTTTTATGCATGTCAAATGAAACAAAAATAGCTCAAGAAATGAAAAACAGCAAATCCAACTTAACAAAAACTTAATCTTTTAATTATAAAGTACCTCAATTTTTCTGTTCATTTCAGAAAGTTTTTCATATTCGGATTCAAAATCAACTTTATTTCCCTCTGTCTGCACATAATTGTGATCTCTAGGTAGTGCACTATGTGGCAGTGCATCCACTAGTAGGATAAAAAAGTTTAAATGTCCATTAGTGATAAATAACCCATTAATAATAATTAAAAAAAATCATGTCGTTTTGAACTGAGAAATTTAAATAGGATTTTTTTAAAAACTCAGAGTATGTCATACATATTAGACTTTGGAAAAAGAAATATTTTATCAGTTTATGTACCTTCGTTTGTCAAATAATGAAAATCCGTTGACCCATCTTTTTCAGAAATTACAATCTCTCCAGAAACGTATGGATACCATATACTATTTCGTAGAAGTGGCGCTTGTTTTACTAGTTTTATGTCAACATTTTCTTTTACACACTCTGTGACAGGAAGGTGTTCAATAACTAGTTCTGATCTCCCCGATGTAGAATTTCTGGTAAATCTTTTGCATTTTGATTTATTGTAATTATTGTACCTAAAAAGAGTGGGGTAAGGATTGCTTGCAGTGGGTTTATGGTCTACAAAATGGTCAGAACATACTACCAAATGGCGAAGGTCACTCCGAGAATCGCGTTCTAAACTTCGTTTGATTTTCTCTTCAAGCCCCTCTCGTCTTATATAATGTAACCACTTTTTTCTGACAGACTCAACCTTTTGAAATTGGAAAAATTCGACATTGTCATGGTTATTTCGACTGTCGCTTGTGCACCCCTCTGCGACGCAGTGTAGAATCGGCATATTGTTTACCCTCACAACTTTGTACCCGAAAATCTCGCGAGATTTGGATAATGTTAAACTCCTACGTAAGAGAGCGCAATAAAGGGGAGTTACTCTTACTGATCGCGATAATAACTATTGTCCGGAAGGGTACTCTTTAGTCCCTTGAACATTCGTCATGAAACCCTTTTTTTTAGTGATTAGTAAATGTAGTTGTGCGATTTGCATTCAAAATTTTCAAATAATCGATTATTGCCATGGAGACTAGAGGAAGGTGAAAATTCTTTAACTTTGATTTTTAAATCAAAGAACTGAAAGGAATTATAAGACTTGTTTGTCCAATCTTAGCTAATAGGTACATGTATTGTTTTAGTGATACAAAAAATGAAAGTCTTGTCCGAAATTATCAATAGTTGCCATGGAAATAGGGGAACAGTTCGGGGCTACATACGCTATCGCTAGCAATAGTAAACTCTCTAGTTGTACTTGATATTACTTTTAAAAAGTAACAAACAGTATCAAAACCCACTTAAGCACATATTTCTATATGTTGTGTGTCATTTTTCTTGAAAGTTTTTGACAAATTCAACCAAACCGGAATTGATCTTGATCTTCGTCTGAGGACAAAATTACGCATCACACCGGGGTAAAAGGTTGGTAAATTGTCCAGATACAATCTTCGGAACATGAAAACAAACAATTTCAATCGTACGAAAATGTTAAAAAAAAAGAAAAAAAAATCTGTGCTCGTGACAGTTTAATATCAGTTCAAGTAATCATTATTCTGAATCGGTGCACATCCGTGCTGCATTCTCTAGGATATTAACTACAAGGCATCTGTGTGAAGATACACTGTCAAATACCCGGATCTTAATCCTATTGAACATAATTAGGATTTTATGAGAAAAACCAAAGCCCTTCCTTTCCACACAATTTCGACTGTTCGAAAGAACTATACAGTAGGTATGGCAGCAAATGGGTCAATCTCCTATTCAGGGATACATGGTATCCAACAGAAAAAAAAGTCTTGAGGTAATTAGAGAGAGTGGTGGTCATACTCCATATAGATTTTTTGTGTGAATTTTTCATTTTGAGGGTACATCATTTCCTTGATACTTTGCTTAAAAATGTCAGGAGATACTTACATGAAATTTAAGCAACATTGAACTTAATTATGCATCATCAACAAAGAATTAAAGAAATCATTTAATGTTTGCATTTGTTCTTTAAAACTTCAAAAAATGTAAGGTGAACACTTAGAAGCTTTGTTCAGTGTACATAGCATATTCAACCATTTAGAAGCGAGGTTAGGGTTAGGGTTCAGCATACGTAAAATAGAACTTAATTCAGAAATTGGAAAAAAATATATAAATCTATTCACTTTCCTATATACTTATCTGGACTTAAAGAAAAAAAAATCAGTAATGGATATACAGTGTGTATAAATGTTGAGATTTAAAAAAAAATGAAGTTCATGAAAGTAAACGTCAGCAGCAATGTGAGTTTGGACAAGATGCTGAGACTAACACAGAAAGCAGTAAAATTCACAGTGTTCTTTCGTATTTTATCAGGAAAATGGAAGATATTTGTCGTTTGGATGACTTTTGTGCATTAATGAAAAACATCAGAACATAGCAAAAATTGCACACCACTTGTTGCTTGATATCGGCAAGTTCTATAAACAAAGGACGGTTTATTACATTTTTACCCCTGAAATACCGAATTTATTACATTTTTACCCGTGAAATACTCTAATTTATTCATTGAATAAAAATGATATCCCGACACAGTGTGAAAGGATATCAAAATGATATCCTGTCACAGTGTGACGAATATCAGAAATGCGGGAAAACTCTCGATTTCCCTTCCCATAACGAAGATTGTTGTAAAGAAAATCTTCCTTTATCTAATATAGGATAGATAATAATAAATAAACCATCCTAACATCGAAAAAACTGTCAAAATTGCTGAAAATATGTTGCTAAATCCATGTTTACAGAGTTTTAATCTAACACAGCTATGACGTTTCAACCGCTCAACTATGACTTCATGAGACCTATGGCTGTAT